TAATGCTGTGTTCAAGTCCTCCTGGGACGTTCGTACTTACGAGTTGACAAGTCGTAATTATGACGTCAGGTGCGTTCAAGTCAGTTTAGTCGGCACAAGATGGCGGTGTACCTTCTTTTAATAAATTACAAGAAAATACAACAGGGTCTGTTAACTCTGCTTATAGAAAATGAAGAGCAAAGAATTCGCATCAGGTGTGTTTTGCGTTTTTAATATTTTTAAAAAGTAATTTATGAAGCCACTTTAATCTGTATCGCATAAAAACTTGTTATTAATTGTTATATTACAATCCTGCCACATTCAAAAAGCTTATTTTTTGTAAATAAAAAGCCTGACAATGTCACTGCTTAATACCTATAAGTATTGTGATTTATGTTTTACTTTGGCAATCTCTCTGTCTCCCTCTGTCAGACATGCAGAAAAATTTACCGTCAACTACAGACGTTGCATCCATCGATTCCGCCATGTTTCTCATTGACACGCCCCCAACTCGGAAACTCGGGGCTTAAAGAAAATTTCGAGTTTCCCACTCATAATAACGACTTTGTGGTGGCGTTCATGTGCGTTCAACTAGTAAATACGAGTTGAACGCACAACTAGTAAATACGATCTATCCGACATGACTTGAACGCACCATAAGATAACAACCAGATACAGTACAAATAAATGAGCCTTTATTTAAGTCTCAACAGTCTTAGATGTCTAAAGTGTATAAAGGAAATGTATAAAGTTTTACAGGTTTGTACCTGTTGACAGCTCATATAAAATAGAATAGAAGAAATATCTGAGTTGATACTTGAAATACAGTATAACTGAGAAATCCAGTTCTCCTGATCTATGAAGGATAAACGTCTGAGTGCTCATATTCTTAAATGAGGATTTCTGTTCTACTTAAATTACGCCGTATGTAATAACTATCAACAAACTGTAATCCTAAAACACAATGGTGAATCATTTCATTTCTTTATGAATCCTTTATGGGTCTTTTCTCTTTTTTTGAGGATGCCCCCAAGAGCTTTTCCCTGTGGTGACTTGCCTTTTCACATAATCTTCATGCGCACAGCACACAGATATGCAAAATCACATCAATTTGAATACATCACACTTCCACTTACACAGATATACACGCCTACATGTGCTAACAGTCTGTGTGTGTGTGTGTGTATGTGTTTCAGAGAGCCACAGTGAGAAGGCGAAGAGGAAGCTGTTTCGTCATTACACAGTAGGAACGTATGAGGGTCTTGAAGTGCCCAGGTGGGAACAGTATGGAATCTGAATTCAATTGTTCAAATTTTAAATAAAATATATAATATATAAATGTAAAAATGTAAACATGTATATATCTGTCTGTTCAGTTTATATAATCTGTTAATTTAAATGTTATTTGAAGTGTTCTATATTACATTTTTTTAATGACAAATTTATATGTACACACACATACACATATATATGTCATAAAATATAAATGTTTGGGGTTTAATCCTAAAACACAATGGTGAATCATTTCATTTCTTTATGAATCCTTTATGGGTCTTTTCTCTTTTTTTGAGGATGCCCCCAAGAGCTTTTCCCTGTGGTGATTTGCCTTTTCACATAATCTTCATGCGCACAGCACACAGATATGCAAAATCACATCAATTTGATACATCACACTTCCACTTACACAGATATACACGCCTACATGTGCTAACAGTCTGTGTGTGTATGTGTGTGTTTCAGAGAGCCGCAGTGAGAAGGCGAAGAGGAAGCTGTTTCGTCATTACACAGTAGGAACGTACGAGGGTCTTGAAGTGCCCAGGTGGGAACAGTATGGAATCTGAATTCAATTGTTCAAATTTTAAATACAATATATAATATATAAATGTAAAAATGTAAACATGTATATATCTGTCTGTTCAGTTTATATAATCTGTTAATTTAAATGTTATTTGAAGTGTTCTATATTAAATTTTTTTAATGACAAATTTATATGTACACACACATACACATATATATGTCATAAAATATAAATGTTTGGGGTTGATGTGTTTTTTATGTTTTTAAGGCTACATTTAATACAGTAATATTGTGAAATATTATTACAATTTAAAATAACAATAATAAAATGTAATTTATTTCTGTGATCAAAGCTGAATTTTCAGTATCATTACTCCAGTCTTCAGTGTCACATGATCCTTCAGAAATCATTCTAATATGCTGATTTGCTGCTCAAGAAACATTTCTGATTATTATCAATGTTGAAAACAGTTGTGCTGCTTCATGTTTTTGTGTAAACCATGATTAATATTTTTTCCAGGATTTTTTGATGAATAGAAAGTTCAAAAGAAATCTTTTGTAACATTATAAATGTAATTATTGTCACTTTTTATCAATTTAATATCTGCATCTTTGCTAAGTAAAAGTAATAAAAAAAAAATCTTAGTGCCCCCAAACTATTAGTTAATATTCTATAATTTCTAAAAGGTACTGTACAACTCTCTATGATAATATAACATATGTGTTAAAAACTGAACTAAAATTATTTTAAACCTAAAGTGGTGTCACAGTTGTGCTTCTATATTAGAAATGGCTTTTCTAGCTTGGTTGTGTGATAAAGTGTGTGTGTGTGTGTGTGTAATTATAAACTAAACTGTACATGTTGATCCAGTGAAATCTATCGATGGGTTTTGATCAAATGGATTCACCACAAAAAAGATTAGTGGCTGCTTCTTGTTTCAAACGCTTGCTGGCAAGTGCAAAACGCGAGTCTCTGCCTCCACTAGACGGGTATGCAAATGTCACAGCCACTTTCAAAAAATGACACAACAATGTTTGGATCTGTGGCTCTCATGTGGAATATTAACACATGCGGTGTGAGCCGCTGCTGTCTCTCTGCTGCCGCTCTCTTGTCTCTGATCTGTCTCTCTCTCACGCACCGTGCATCAGCTGAAACGACGCGGTTTGCAGTGGATGTGTAAAATTGTGTGCATACGTTGTGTTGTGTGTTTGTGCATGTGTGTGTGTGTGTGTGCGCGTGTCCGTGCACATATAAGCTGTCTTGATCATCTGTTGCCATGCAGGCCGAGTGTATCCGCTCGCATCTCTCACCCACTCATCAAAATCCCACAATTTATTGCCGGTTCTGTATGAAAGGAATAGATCACCCAAAAAATTACAATTCTGTTATTATTTAGACTACTCACCCTTATATCGTTCCAAACCACAATGCTGTTATTTTTTTATTATTTTTGAAGAATCTGAAAGATTCTATTTGATCAAAAATAACAATAAAAACAGTAATAAAGTGAAATATTATTGCAATTGAAAATAACTATTTTTTGTGTAAATATCTGTTAAAATGTAATTTATTGCTGTGATCAAATCTGAATTTTCAGCATCATTACTCCAGTCTTCAGTGTCACATGATCCTTCAGAAATCATTCTAATATGCTAAATTTGCTGCTCAAGAAACATTTCTGATTATTATCCATGTTGAAAACAGTTGTGCTTCTTCATAATTTTGTGGAAACCATGATAAAGATTTTTTGATGAATGGAAAGTTCAAAAGAACTGTATTTATTTGAAATTTAAATCTTTTGAACATTATAAATGTCTTTACTGTCTTTTGATCAATGTAATGTGTCCTTACTGGTTAATTTCTTTAAAGGGGGTCATATGACGTTGCTAAAAAAAATTTTTAATTGCATCATATGACCCCTTTAAAAAATTATCTTACTACCACCAAACTTTTGAACTGTAGTCGATATTCTCATTATTTCCCAGTCTTCTGAAGTTATGTGATGCTTGGTGTGAGGAACACACCATATTTAAATCATTTATTAACTGAAAACCTTTTCCCCATCAAAGCTCTGAAATCTAATTTCTGTTTGCGTCATTGAGAAATGCAGCACAGATGTGCTGTGCTACTTTGAAAGACTTTTGTGGTGTGTTTCGACCCTTTTTATCAACATCAAAAATAGACTGTAACCCAAAGCTGTCAAGGCCAGAAAAGCACCATGAAAGTATCATAAAAGCAGTTGAGTCATTATATTACTATATTCTTGCTGCATCTTGTGACATCCAAGAAAAGGCTTTTGGCATCATTGACACCAAACATGTTGCTATAAGAAAAAATGATCAATGTTAACCATTTAAATTAAGCATTCCAACAGCACAAACAGTAGATCATTGCACCAGCATGGGTTTGATTATTAGGGAATGCAGGCATTTTTATATAAAATGTGTACCTTGATTGCAATCAATGTATGCTTTTATTCACTTTGAATAAAATCATCTGTCAAATGCATAAATGTAAATGTTAAATTTTGGTCGGCTCATCATGCAAAGCTATAGCCTGACTTTTTTATTCAAAGTGGTGGTTTTTGGCTCTTTTTGTCTACGTACAACAAAAGTAGACTGAAACCAGTGTCAGTGTCAGTGACGTCAAACCTGCCATGATAGGAAAAATGATCAATTCATATGAAGCATTCTTGTAGCTCAAACAATAAAAAAATATTGTTTGTTATGCAATGGGTTCCATTCCCAGGCAATGCATGTATTTTTATATAAAATATGTACCTTGAATGCAGTATTAGTCACTTTGGATGAAAGTGTCTGCCAAATCCATAAATAAATATAAATGTTGAAGTTCTGTCTGCTTCTCATGCAAAGCTATCAGAAGACTTCATGAGGCCACAGTATATTCCATTTGAGATATTTTTATGGTGTTTCTGGCCCTTTTTGTCTACAACAAAAACTGTAACCAGAAACCAGAAGCTATCAAGAAGTTTCTTTTGTCATCACTGACATCAAATCTGCCATGATAGAAAAAATGATCAATTAAAATGAAGCATTCCTGTAGCTCATATACAATAGAGCATGATGTATGCAATACAATTCAATTCCTAGGCAATGCATGCAATGCAATTTCATTCTGCTCCTGATGCAACGCTGTCGTGTGACTTCAGGAGACCACATATGTGGCCCTGGACCACAAAAACAGTCATAAGGGTCAATTTTTATTTAATAAATAAGCTTTCCATTGATGTATGGTTTGTTAGGATAGGACAATATGCGGCTGAGATACAACTATTTGAAAATCTGGAATCTGAGGGTGCAAACAAAATAAAAATATTGAGAAAATCGCCTTTAAAGTTGTCCAAATGAAGTTCAAAAATTAAGTTTTTTTCTCTCGCTCTCTCTCTCTCTCTCCCTCCTCCTCCCTCGTTCTTAAGCGTGTAGGGTCTCGCTTTGCTCGGTGTCTCTCTGTCTCTCTCTCCTCCTCTCCTCCTCTGGCTGTGTGCGCGCTGAGAGACGAGGGGCCGGACGAGGAGGAGGAGGAGGACTCCGAGGAGGGGGGGGGGACAGGGCAATGGGGGGATACGGGGGG